TTTTATCTTTTTCTCCTTTTTCTTCTTTTCTCTCTTTTATATATATATATAAAAAAAAAAAGGATCCACCCGAAATTTTAATGATTTTTCATTTTTTTTTGTTACTTTCGCAAAACTAAACCCAACCGAGAAAAAAACATAATAATAATAATAATGTTTTACTTTAAACAAAAATTTTCCTCACGAAATTTTACAGATTTTTACCAAACAAAAATGAAAAATAAAAACAAAAACAAACAGTAATAATAACAATAATAAACAAAAAAATTTAAAAAAAAAAAAAAAAAAAACTCTTCGATGAAAACAAAGATGTGTTAGTAACAATAACAATAACAATAATATTAATAATAATAATTATGATAATAATAATTAAATAACCAACGACACGGTACCTACGACAAGAGACTGATTTTTAAATTAAATGAAAGAGAGAAGAGAGAAAAAAAAAAAATGAAAAAAAAAGGAAAAAAAAAGAAAAAATAGAAAAAAACGAGAACTACTGACCTCGTGCGAAATACAGTGCGAAACCGGGGACCTTGCGGACACACAAAAGTCTCGGCTGCGCAGTTTATAAAGCGCAAGTCTGGCAAATTGTTTTTTAGGGGGTTGTAGAAATCGATTTGACAAAAAGGATTTGTTCCTTCTTTTCGAGTGCCAAAACTAGATGTCGGCTTTGATTTTCCTTTTTCCTCTTTTTTTTTTTACCTCCCTCCCCTCCCCCCGTTTGATTGACAAAAAAAAAAAAAACAAATGTTAAAATTAAGAGAAAGAGAGAGAGAGAGAGAGAAGAGAGGGAAACCTTACATTGATACGTCTGACTTGTAATCCGGCAACAGCATCATCTTATTTTATTACTTAAAAACTAACAAATTCTTTCGTTCCATCCTCCTCTTCCACTCTCTCTCTCTCTCTCTCTCTCTCTCTCTCTCTCTATGCTTTTTTTCCAATGTTTTTCCCTTTTCCCTGTCCCCTGCTGTCCCCTCCTTCCTACCCTCCCACTTTGAACCAATTACTTAACAACAACAAGAAAAACTTTTACGAAAAGACTCGTCTTATACTAAGCCATATCGTTTTATTTTTTATTATTATTTTTTTTTTTTTTGTTTGTTTTTCGTCGTCGACTAATATAATAATACTTTTTGCCTTTAGTTTGACGATTTTAATACGAAATAGAGAGAGAGAGAGAGAGAGAGAGAGAGAGAGAGAGAGAGAGAGATAAAAAAACAAACAAACAAACAAACGAAACAAAACAAAATCGACACAATTTCCACAGTTTCAATGGACGAAAGAAAGAAAGAAAAAAAGAAAATCTCACACTGACCCTTTTTCAATTCAACGAACGGTCATAATATTATAACACACACACAAAAACTGGAAAATCCAAAAGGAAAATCTTTTAAAACCTTATAAAAAATGATAAACCATAATCAGTTTTCTGTGGGGGAGGGGGAGGGACAATCAATAAACGTTGAATAAATCACACACAAAAAAAAAATTTTTTTCCTTTCCCCGCCCCCCCCCAGTTTTGTAACAATAGAAAAATCGATTTCGAAAAAAAAGAATATATATATAATAATAATGATAATAATAAATTAGTTTTAATTTCGATGTCATCATCATCATTATTATTATTATTATCATTATTTTTTTTTCCCTCCTCTTTCTTTCATCCTTTCATCATACGTGCTTAACATTGTGTGGTGAGAGAGAAAAGAAAAAAATAAATAAAAATAAATAAAACGCAATTCCGGTTAATTTAGAAATAGTAGCAGTAAGAATAATAATGATGATAATAATAATAATAATAATCGTTGATATATATATATAAAAACAGCAACAATGGTAAAATAGCCTTCATGTGTGTGTTTGTGTGTCTATTTGGCAATAAATAAAAATAAAAAAGGAAGTTGGTCTTTCTTTTTTATTTTTTTAACTTGATAATATTATTATTATTATTTGTGATGATGATGATAATGATAACTAACACTAATGTTACTTTAACGTGATTATTATTACAATAAATTATTTTTAAAAAATTCGACCATTTGAATTAGAAAAATTCAACAAACTAAGAAGGTGTAATAATACCCAATGCAACACCGCCAAAATTTTCATCATCATTATTATTATTATTATTTAAATAAAATTAAATAAAGATTGATCGATCGATCGATCGATCGGTTGGTCAATTAATGACTCAGACATTGTTTAAACAACTTTTAAAATTTAGAAAAGTTTTAAATTAAACATGGGGGGAAAAAAAAAAAAATTGGCAATGAATCATCATATAAATAAAAACTTACCTTAATAATTAATAAAGAAAAAAAAAAGAAAACGCCCCCCCCTCCCTTTTTTACATATACATTTGTGATGTATTAATGAAATCGTTTAAAGTCTTAATTTTTCAATAATAATAATAATAATAATATCTAATAAAAATGGTTGCCTATTTGTCTAATCGAATTGTGAATATTTTGAAAAAAAATCATAAGTGAAACAATAATTACAGACCACTTAAATAAATTGATAAGGAATGATTCCAGATGATAACTATTTGTTTCATTATCTGTTTCTAATTAAATAATTAACAATATGTTAAGAAAACATAATAATAATTATTAAAGTTGACTGAACTTTTATTACATTACCAACTCGACAAACCTAATTTTGTCTTTCTCATTATACGTAATTGACAAGTTTAAAAAAAACCCGACTCGAAACAATTTTTTCGTTTGAACAATAAAAATATGTCATATTGAAATCAAAAAGGAAAATCATGTTTATCAGAAAATAATGTCAAGAAGAAGAGTTAAAAAACAAAAATGGGTAATTCTTATCTGGTTAGATAAAAAAATAAATTTTTATTTCACTCACCATGAACGACAAGTTCTGATTCTTTGTTAACATCATACAGCCTAATTGCTTCATCTAGTTCCATTTGATTTGAAAGAGTACAAGGATCACCCTCGTCATCAATCCATTTCATTGTGAATAGTTGATCGGATGAAAATTTACATATATCTCTCATTTCATCGCAAAGTTGATCGAATGTTATTTGTTGATTGATGTAAGTAATCATTTTTTCCCTGCGACAAAAAGAATAAATTACATAAAACAAAAGTTTTCGACTAAAAATTATTTTGTGATATTTTACCAAAGTCATCGACAATCTTAATACAAATGTAATGTCATTAAAAAAAACAATTGTCATCAATGTAAAAAGTAAATCTTTTATAAAAAATTTATCATATTTAAAAAATTGTAGAGTAGAATCTAAAGACTTTTTATGAGAAAAATTCTTTGCTATTCTAATTTAAAGTAATTAATTACACAAGTGACATTGCATTAAAGCTAAGTAAGGTACACAGTTAAAATGTTAGTAAGTAATTATTGGTAAGAAAAACCTTAAATACATGATAAAAATGATTTTTTAGTATTACAAAATTTGAACATTTTTACATACCCGTTATAGGCAGTTTTTACCCGTATTTCTGGAATTTCAGCTTCTGATGACATTTGAGTAGGCATTTTAATTAATTTTAACTTAAATAATATATATATATATGTACTAATTAAAAAAAAAAGGCACGAATAAAGACACGCGTAAGTGGGTGTCCAGCTTCAAAATGCCGGATTTATACCCGAAATATAATTTTTTTTTTTTTTTTTTTTTTTTTTACTTCCACGTTCTTGTAACCGTTTTCCCTCCGAAAATTATATGGCCGCGCACTAAATGAATTCCAAAGGAATGACTCAACCAATGATGAGTTCTAATAATCCCTGCGATCACTATCACAAATAAAATTTATAAAAATACACGTGACTCTTAATAATTTACACATAGTTTAATAAATAAATAATTAACTTATAACAAAAGATTTGAATTTATTTAATTACTTGACACTTAAAAGTTAAAAATTACGAACACTAACACACACACTCACACATACACTTACAAAGCTCTCTCACGTATTCGTACCTATTAACAATGTTGCCAATTCAAAGGTACTTTTTTTTTTTTTTTTTTTAATAACTTATATTTATACCTTATTGACCTAATATCGACAACAATCAATAAAAAAACAAATAAAAAATTTGATATAACTATATATGAATATGATTTATTATTAAAATTAAACGTTTCGATAAGAAAATTTCTCTCGTTAAACTATATAAATTATTATGTAAGTCACACACCATTTTGAATTTGGCAACATTGCACCTGTATTACACCTGAAGTTGTTACAAAGTTTATCAACCACCAGGTGTATTAAATTTAATTAAACGCAAAACAAAATTTTATTATTTAAAAAAACGAATCGAAATTGTTTTTAAAAATATAATTATTAATAATATATAAATAAATTAAAATAAAACCTGAATTATAAATATATAATAAAAACAAAAAAAAAAATTTTTTTTAAAATAACATTATATATAAATACATTAAAGTGTTTCATTTTTACCTATTTGTTATAAAACGTAGAAATTATGAGGAATACGACATTAAAAACATTCATTTTAAAAAAAAAAAACACTTAAAAAAGATAGAAATTACAAATAAATAAATAAAAATTTAATTAAAAAAAAAATAAAACACCGTTAAAGTTACATATCATAATGGTATTATTATTTAAATGATATGAGTGACTAAATATTTTGATTTTCAACAGTTGGCATTAAATTAAATAACAAAGAGTTTAGAAGTACATTTATTATATGTGCATTATTTGTTAAATATATATATATAAATTTTACACTCCAGTATTAATTTTATATTTTATTATTAGTAAATTGTTATATTATTAGTTTTTAAACATGCCAAATAAATTTGATGCGTAAGTTTTACTTACAAGTATGGTAAAAAAGCATGCATAACCAAACTTGGTTTTTGATTTTTTTTTTTTTTTTTTTAAAGTTTATTTACTTTTAATGTTTATAAACTTTTTATATTTATTAATTTATTAAAATAATTTATTTACAGTTATAAAAGTAGCAGTGACGATAATGCAGAAGAAGAATTTTCTGCTGAAAAAGAGGCATTGCAGGTAATTTATAAATAAACTTATTTATAAATTGTAATATTTTTTTTTAAATGTATACATAATATTTTAAATGCACACACACATATGGAATATTACACTGCCTTGATGAATTTATATAATTATAATTAAAAATTATTTTTTAAAATTAATATTTAAATAGTAATTTATTGTTATCATGTTTCGTTCAGCCTGTTGTTGTACCTCCCGGTGAACACAAACTACAGTGTGCATATTGGCTGTGGTTTAGTCGCAGAACTCCAGGAAAGACTTCATCAATACAAAGTTATGACCAAAATTTAAAATTGATCGCCAAAATAGGTTCAGTGGAACAATTTTGGGCACATTATAGTCATTTAATTCGTCCATCTGATTTACAAGGACATAGTGATTTTCATTTATTTAAAGTCGGAATTAAACCAATGTGGGAAGATGAAGCTAATCAACATGGTGGAAAATGGATTGTTAGATTAAGAAAAGGATTGGCTTCACGCTGTTGGGAAAATCTAGTGCTTGCTATGTTAGGAGAACAATTTATGGTTGGAAAAGAAATATGTGGAGCAGTAGTCTCCATTCGATATCAAGAAGATATTATATCAGTTTGGAATAGGACAGCTTCGGATACCTCGACGACTGGACGAATTAGAGACACTCTTCGACGTGTATTAAATTTACCTCCTAACACAATTATCGAATATAAAACTCATAATGACAGTCTAAAGTACAATTCAAGTTTCAGGAATACATAAGTTATATAAGTTGAAATCAATGTTTTGTCTTTTTTTTTCCCCCCCCTATTTTAAAAAAAAAAAAAAAAAAAAAAGTGTTTAGGTACCTGCTATTAAAATTCTGAATCGTTTTATGATTTTTTTTTTTTTGTTTTAATGCCTGGCTCTTGATTTCCAGTAGTAGGCGTGCCATATAAAATCCAGAGAAAAAAAAAATTTAATGTAATAAATAAATCATCATTTATGAAAACGAAATGAAAAAAAAATTAAAATTAAAATCAATTCAACAATTAATTAATTTGTTATATGACATGTAAATTTAAATTTAAATTTAAAATTTAAAACTCTGTAAATTTGACTAATTAAAAAAAAAAACAAATTATTATTATTATAATTATTTCTAGCTGTAATTAATATCTTATCTCTAAAATACTTAGACAAACTAAAACTAATTTAGATTTCCATTTAATTAAGTAATTAAGTGAAAAGAGCAATAAATAAAAAAAAAAAAAAAAGCAAAAAAAAAAAAAAATACATGAAACAAATTAATTAAAAAATATTTTGTAAAATAAATTGTTGAAAACAAACTATTTAATTAAATTTTTATTCTTATAATATATATATATATATATATATATATATTTAACTTTTAATAGATTAAATTTTTTTTTTTTCGATTGTAAATTTTAAGAAAATGGAAAAAAATATATATATATACATTTATCTTGAGATTCATTTTCTGTCTTATTATTTTTATTAAAAACCATACTGATGATGATGATAATAAGAGAAATGATTACATCATAATGAATGGAAATACATTATTAAAAATTTACAAAAAATAAAATAAATTAAAATGAAATGGATTACGATAAAAAAAATTAATTTTCTTACTATTCTTTACACATCCAAAAATAAAAAAGGTTAAAAAAAAAAAAACATTTATAAATATAAATATAAAAAAAATATTTTTTACAATATATATATATATATATATATATATTGCACATTTATATTATAATAAAGCATAAAAATTTTTTTGTTTAAGACACGCTCATTTTTTTGTTATGAAAAAAATTTGATTAATAATTCGATTGACAAAAAAAAAAAAAAAAAAAAATTAAAAATATTGCGAAAAATATTTTTTTTTAAAATATAACTTCTCATTTTGAAAAAAATAATAATAATGATAATTATCATTTTAACATGAAAGAAAAAAGGATTTTAACAATAGATTCAGTTTAAAAAAATAAAAAATAAAAAATTATAAACAAACGAGATAAAAAAAAAAAACTACTGATAATATCGATAAACAGGACTGACTATTAAAAATAATAATAATTATTATTATTATTTTTTAAATAATATCACATATAGAAAATAATAGAAATGATTTTGAAATTATTATTAATTAAAGAAATAAATTTCATTTTTTGATTGTTGTTTGCATGCGTACAAAAAAAAAAAAAAAAAAAAGTTACTCACCGTTGCCAATGTCGATTTTTAAATTTTATGCAGGTCTTAAAAGCACCATGGTTACTAATCCTGAAAAAGAAAATTTTTATGTAAGTGTGTCAAATTCTCACAATATGAAATAATTTTTTGTAATTTTTCAAAGTTTTACCTAAAACATATGAAACAACTAATTTTAAATGAACTGTCGGTTTTAAATATTCAGGTATAATCACAGAGATTTCACCGGCAGTAGGTAAGAGCAATATTGTAGCGCATATAATGGCAACACTTATAAACAAACCATTAGGTGGCCCTTGTCTGACAGCTAAAAAAAAAAAAAAATTTTATCTTACTGTTATTTAGTTTTAAATAATAAATTTGAACAAAATTTCACAAAATAACATACCCTGCTTCTTGGATAATGAGTATTGAGCAGGCGGTTGAGCTGAAGTGTTTGTCGGAAGTTGCTGAAATGATTCTCTTTCGGGAGTTTGATTTTCTGTTTCTTCTGCACATAATTCAGCTACAATATCTTTTTTACCAATCAACTGTGATGAATAAATAATGAATATTTCAATAAAATATTATTTTTCTTTAAAAATTCATAACAAAAAACGGAATTCATACCTTATTTGTAGCAAATTGATACATTTGTATTCTGAACTTATCAGTCTCGCCGACATTTTGATTTGAAAGAGAATTGTGACGAATGACAATATCAACACAACAATGTGTTTGTATTTTTCCCTCAGGATCGACCACAGTATATTTATGTCTATCTCTGGATGAACATAGGACTACAAATAATATTTATTTTTTTTTTGGTAAATGAATAAATTCATATGACAAAATTTAAATTAAAACCTACCTTGAAATCTAACTGGAAAATCATATGGATTATATAATGTCAAAACCTGCTTGTGAGTAGACTGATCAGATAAATTAAATTTTAAACAATTAGGAAAAACAAATACTGGTATTAAACCCTCTGGCATTATATTAATTTACTCGAATAAATTTTAACCTGAAAAAAAAAAATTGAAATGTTTATCGTTTTTCATCGAAAATTCATACAAAAAAAAAAAAAAAATGTCAGGTGAAATCATTTTCGACATGTCATCATTTTAAAAATTTAACAGTATATTAATCACAAATACTTTTTTTTTTTTTTTGACTTTAATAAATGAATGATAAAAAATTAAAAAACAAAGTCAAGACTGTCAAATATAATTAATCATTTCCGTTTAAAAAAAGAGTAATAATAAAAGTTTAAATGATGTCAATATTTGAAACGATTATTAAATTATCGATGGGGAAAACTAAAATTATACGTAAAATAATTTTAAATATTTTTACATTATTAAAATAATAATAAATTGAATAGTATCATTGAATAATAGTAAAAACGTAATTAACCACCACCACTACGTGATATGAACTGTTAACAGTTTTTTTGTTTTAATTTTAAAAATAATAATAATAATAATTTAATAAATCGAATTAAAAAATAAATTAAAATGTAAAATATTTTACCGAAAACATTAAAATCATCAAGGTACGTATAAGTTTAAAGACAAAGAAAAAATTATCAAAAATTCGTTAAATAAAAACATTTTATCAAAATAAATTAGTCATGACTAGTTCCACTATAAAAATAGTTGATGCCACGTAAACGGCAAATTGCAAGGTCATAAATTTTAGTGTGTAAAATTTGCTGGCCGTATTTTTGCTTTCCCAATGTGTTAAGTGGTGGGTGTTAACTCAGGGGTCGGAGTAGTTGTGTTTTAGTATTTTATAAATATCTAAATTTACATTTATTTTATAATTATTTAAAAAAAAAAAAAAAAAAACATTTTTTTATTAATTATACATTAAGTTAAATTAAAGTTAAATTAATAAATTAAATTAATTTAACATTTAATTGCATAAATATCTCGTCATCGTTACCGTAGTAAAAAAAAATGTTTCACTTAAAAACCGCGTCGCGAATTTTTCACCCCGTTCGACAATCATGTACGACAGAATTATCAACGGCACTAAAATCGAGTGCTGTCGGAGGAATTAAATATTATTCATCGGCTGGTAAATATGAAATACCGGATAAATTAAAAGATATGCCGGATGCGGAAAATCCAAGATTTTTCGACATGGTTGAATATTTTTTTCACAAAGCTTGTCAAACCGCGGAAGATCAATTAATTGATCAGTTAAAAGTATCTAAAATTTCATTAGACGACAAAAGGAAAAAAGTCAAGGGTATTCTTTTATGCATGCAATCTTGCGATCACATTATCGAAATTGCTTTTCCAATTAGAAGAGATAGCGGTGATTATGAAATTATCACCGGTTACCGTGCTCAACACAGTACCCACCGTGTTCCCACCAAAGGGGGTAAGTTTAAAAAAAAATTTTTTATTTTTATTTACATCGACAAGTTTTTATTCCAATTTACTTTGTTACAAATAATCAAAGTTTCCATTTTTTTTTTTTTTTATCACTATTCTAAATGCCCTTATAATAAAACTTATTAACACATTTCGATATCAGTGCCAATACGACAAATCTTTTATCATTATCTCATATATTGAAAAGTACCATCATCGAATTGTAATATCGATATTCATAACTGATATATAATCAATCATCACAAGTTGGGAAAAAAATGCAAAAAAAAAAAAAAAAAAAAAAAAATTCAGCATTTTTTAAAGTCCTTGATTACATAATTTTTTTTCTTTCTTCGTTTTTTTTTATCAGTCGGAGATGTTTTGTTTGGCAGATATATATATGACTGATTATTTTTTAAAACAAAATGTAATATATTTAATTATTATTTGATTTTAATATCTATAAGGCCTTGGAATAAAATTCACATGATTTTTAATTATTTATAAATTTTTTTAAAAGAAAGTCACGATTTAAAAAAATTTTGGTTTTTTGCATGTCTCGTTTTATTATTTTTTTTAAAAAAATCGAATAATGTTGTGTATCGAACCACATGTTATTAAAATCACAATCATTATTAACACACCATACATACATTATTTTTATATAAAAAAAAATTTAATTTCATGATACAATGCCATTGATATGGATCATTTAACATGAACTCATGTAAAACATTTTGATTTTTAAATATATTTTGCCATAAACTTTTTTTTTTTTTATTTCGTTAAGTAGATAGATATATTTTTATGTAGAGAATAAAGCTTAAATTTTTTTTTTTTTTTTTTATTTCAGTGATAGCAAATCTTTTATTTTTTTTTTTATTTCTAAAAATAAAATTTTACACTGTTCATATGCCAAGTTACTTAACAATGTTTTTTTTTTTTTCCCCCAGCTCTCTCTTTCTCTCTCTCTCTCTCCTTTTCATTTATTTATTTATTTATTTTAATCGTTTCTAAAATTATTTTCATGTACAATTTTTTTTTTATCAGAAAAGTTTTTTGATAATGTTTGAATTGTTTCAACTTATTCGATTTAGCTTTTACCTTTCAGACAAAAAAAATTTTTCTTTTTGTTTGTTCGGTTGGGTTTGTTTGTTTGATTTCTCAATCGAAAAAGAATTTGTTTGTTATTTATAAAAAAAAATTTTTTGTTTTTTAAATGGTTGCATTTCGCAAAACTTTATTTTTTTTTTTCAAAAAAAAAAAAAAAAAAAAAATGTCCTTCAGGAGTTATTGTGGCATAGCTCCCAATTTTCATTCGGTTATGTATAAAAATATTTTTACTTTTTTTTTTTTTTTTTTTTTTTTATAATTTTTCTTGATTCTGGCAACATTAATTATTAAAAAAAAAAAAAATTCTTATTGCAATTATAACAACAGCAACAATTCATCCTTTCCCTCATTCTCTTCCCCCACACCCCCCACTCCCCGTCTCAATTTTTTTTTAATTATTATTATTATTATTTTTACACAGACTAGTTTTTAATTAATTTAAATTTTACCTTCAAAACTTTTTTTTTTTTTTTTTTTTTTTGTTTTCTTTTTTATTAAATTTCGAAAAACCTTGGGAAAATAATTGTCATCAAGTTTCCCGTCCAACTTTTCCTATATTACGCAGCAATTAATTTTTTCTTTTCCTTTTAACTCGACTCGTTTTTATGTTTTCTTAAAAAAAAAAAAAAAAAAAAAAATTTTCCACATATTTAAATGGAAAATGGAAAAATCCTACTCTTGCCACGTGATTTTTTTTTTTTTTTTTTTTTTTTAAGAAACGTGCATAAAATTATAATTTTTCGGTCGACGTGTAAATAACGTACAAGTATTCGAATGTTAAAAAAAAAAAAAAATTATTGATAATAATGATATCGTTTCGAATTTTTTTAATAAAAATCAATAAATAATTAATAATAGGTCATGAAAGAGAGTGTTAAGTTAGTTGCCTGATCGTTCTAGATTTAATTATGCGATGCCCCAGTTGCACGCGATATGTTTTCGATTAAATTTATTTTTTTTTTTCAGAGAGAGAGAGAGAAGAAAAAAAAATTATTTGAATTTTTTTTTATGTTTTGCCCTTTTCGCCCCCCCCCGACCCCGCCCCCGCTTCTTCCTACTACCCCCGAAAGGAAAAACGCGTTGGGGATTTGTTTGCACGTTCCCTTCCTTCGTTCCCTATCAACTTGCATTCATTTGATTGATTTTCCCACACAAGTATTACATTTTACACGTGAGAAAGAAAAACAGAAATGGTTTTAATGTTTGTTTGTTTGTTTGTTTGTTTTTAAATATTTACAGGTATTCGTTATTCGTTAGATGTATCACGTGACGAAGTAAAAGCTTTGTCGGCGCTTATGACATTTAAATGCGCATGCGTTGACGTTCCGTTCGGCGGTGCCAAAGCCGGACTTAAAATCGATCCAAAACAATATAGCGAACACGAATTAGAAAAAATTACAAGGAGGTTTACGTTAGAATTAGCCAAAAAGGGATTCATCGGTAATATGTTTGTTCTTGGGGTGGAGGGAGAGGAGAAATCGCTTAAAAAGATGATATACTGATGTAACTATTATTCTTTCTTGATAGGTCCTGGTGTTGATGTACCCGCGCCCGACATGGGTACGGGTGAAAGGGAAATGTCGTGGATAGCCGATACTTATTCAAAAACGATAGGTATATCCTTAATCCATATTGTTTGATAAATAAAATTGTTTAAATGATGTCAAATTGTTTACGTTGATCAACAGGACACACGGACATCAACGGTCACGCATGCGTCACCGGTAAACCCATAAATCAAGGTGGCATACACGGTAGAATTTCGGCAACCGGTAGGG